TTCACACAATGGAGACGTTAGAAAAAGCACAGAGGTGGTAGCAGGGAAGGAACCACCGGCGCTCATTAGGAGGGATTACTTTGAGGAGGTAACATTCACATTGGGAGCTCAAGAAGAAAATACCTCTTCTTTATCTCTAAAGCAACACAAATACACACACACAATGGAGACGTTAGAAAAAGCAGAGGTGTTAGCAGGGAAGGAACCACCAGTGCTCATTAGAAGGGATTACTTTGAGGAGGTAACATTCACATTGGGAGCTGATAATGAAGGATAATGGAGAAGCCAGTGTCCCGGGAGTTCCCTCACTTGGGATCGAATACTCATTGCTTTTAATTAGCCTTGAGACTAAGTTATTGAATTTCTCTAGAGCTCAATTTCCTCACCCAAATAATGAAGAAGTTAAGAGCACATCAGTTTTCCTGAAAATAAATGTAGCACCGAATATGGGAAACAACTAGTAACTGTAACAGGCAGCGGAGAGATGAGTTAAATGATATGGGGGAAAGGGGGCCAATGGGCAATCACTCTGCAAACCTGTTCCCTGTATCTCTTCTTCCTATTTGGAGGCTCACATGCATTTCAAGGACCCGAGAACCCTGGCAGTAAAGCCACCTCTTCTCACTTTGCTTAACCTCATGGTCTCTGTACTCTGACAAAGAACCCGTCTTTTATGAAACTTCAGTGTGACCTTTAAGATCTCCTTCAGCCCAATGTGTATACTCAATGGAAAACTTTCCATGTTTCAAAGTCATTCAATTCTTCCAAAATACATCTGGTAACTAAGGACGCCCTCTACTGTCTTTCCCACACAGTCAGCTGTGGCATCAATGCTAACAGGAAGCCAGAGGGAACCCTTTCAGATATAAATCCAAAACTCTTTTACAAAAGTGGGATTTACAAATCATATTCAGAAATACGTTAGCAACATTAGTCAAGCTGGGCTTATTCCTCCATTGAGACAGAAATGTGTTAGAAATCTGTTAATATCTCCATAAACTCCAAAATGTATATATTCCCACCAAAAACTTTAACTCAGTGAAACAGTTCCTACTGAAATTATGAGTGTGTGTCCGTGTGCATGTGCATGTGCACAGGGTGTTTCACAGATAAACGGATTGTATGAATTATTATAACTCAGCAAATTAATTAAGAAGTCACTTAAGTGAGTTTCTAAAGTTATGGGGAAGTATCGGAGAAATACAAGGAAGTTCGTCACTGTTTATAACAGCCCAGGGTGTTTCACAGATAAACGGGCTGTGTGAATTATTATAACTCAGCAAATTAATTAACTCACTTAAGTGAGTTTCTAAAGTTATGGGGAAGTATCAGAGAAATACAAGGAAGTTCGTCACTGTTTATAACAGCCAAACACTGGGACGGACTGAGGTGGACTGTGATGACGACGCATCTCTCAGTGGGCGCTTACAGCCACCAGAACTGACGCAAGTTCACAGTTCCCGCAAAAAACTGCCCACAGTGTAGACGGCAGGAAAACAGGCCAGAAAAGGATGTTGATAGTATGATTCCAGTTTGGTGATGTAAGTGTGTAAGCTCAAAATAAGTACATGCAGAGCATGGAGAAACTGTATTTTAGAGTATTTCTCGGGAATATGAGCTGCCTTTGGGGAAAATACATCCTGTTCGTGAGACCTTGAGGAATGCAGTGAGCATGTGGCTGCTCCCGATGTGTGGAAAGGGGGGTTTTCTTATTCCAAACAGGAGGGAAGATGGACGGAGCTAGGCGGGGAAAGGGTCATGAATCCTGTTATAAAATCACAACTGCTCCATCAGCACGGCAGTGTGTGTGCACCTGTGAGGAGGTGATGGTCCGTGGTCAAGATGTCTGTACCTAGAAAAACACAGGTGACAAGGAAGGAGCATGGAAGTGACCAGATAACCCCCAGGAAGTACAGACACACAGGGAGCCTTGAGCCGTCTAAGTCCATGAACTTGGACATGGAGGAGGGCCACAGCATCCACGATCAGCGAGAGCTCGTGTTTCTATCTTGATCTTGTAATTCTGTTTTTCAAGGAAGGACATAACGGAGGAGGAGTCACAGGCCCGTGGCTGTGAGGGGAAGGGCTCTAGGCCATGTCCGCTCTGCTACCGAAAGGCCACCTCATGGGAATCTCTTCAATGTGTGTGTCTTTTATATGATGGACATTTGAAGTGGACACCTGAGCTTGCTCCCTGCCTTCTCTGGAATCGCACCTGTCTGGCAGGCAGGCAGGCCAAGGCGTGGCCCGGTTCCCAGGGTGGGTCAAAGCCGGGATCAGACAGAGCCGGGCCTCCTGCCAGAGTGAGCAGGTCAGGAGGGCACAGACACCATCTGGGCTGATGAGTGGAACAGCAGGCTCCTTCTTCGAGAGCATTTCCAGGGGCAGCCCCGCCACTTCTCCATGTCCGAGAGGACACTTCCGGCGCTGAGCGCTGACTGCAGCCACCAAGGCTGTCCAGGGAAGCCAGCACTGGAGGCGGCTGACCCCTCGGAGGGCAGGGCAGACAGAAGCTGGTCTGGATGCTGCGAGAGACACTGCTTCCCACCCACTGCAGATGCCCTGTTTTGCAAGCCCACGGCCGCCCCTGGGAAGGGCAAAATCTCAGACCCTTGACAAGCGACGGCAGAAGCTGCAGTAATCGCCCGGACCACACGCGATGCAGCCCTGTGTCTGCACAGGGCCACGAGGAATGCAGTGTAAACCATGGCCTGTGTCACTTACTGTTCCTCAAGTGTCCCTGGACCCTCACAGGCAGGTCCCAGAACGGCGAGAGGAAGGGGCTGGGAGATCCCTGACAGGGGGAGCGTGGGTAACAGGGGCTTTGTGGGACTCTCTTCAGAAGCCAAAGCCAATATCTGAGGCTCATCACCCAGAGGCAGCCACCTACAAACACACCCTGGACCACTCTCCTTTACCAGAGGCAAAGCCATGGCTCTGGCCACGCTTCACCAAGATGATTCAACAGCAAGCATCACTGCACGTAGTGCAGCTCGGGTAAAAACTAACGGCTTCAATAGAAAGCAAGAACTAAAACGGCTGGGAGTGCCCTGGGATCATTTTCAACAGACACAGCAGGTGCCTTGAAAACCCAGCCATCCTTCTTACCCAGCAACTCATACAGGGAATTCAGAATGGACTTCCAGGACTCCCCCGCCTCTCTGCCAGCCACCTCGGCAAAGTGGGCGGCGCTGCTGTAGACGTGCAGCCGGTCCACGCACTGGAGCACGAGGCTGATCATCCCCTGCGAGGGCAGAGAAACCACCGTCAGAAACATCGGGTCTGCTCACACCCCAAATGCAAAGTGGTTTCAAAACTGGAAAGCCTGGCTGATGGTGAGCCTCTCAGTCGTTAAGAAAACTGAGGTCACTTATTCGCAGGACAAGCAGCAACACCTGCGTGACAAACAGAATGGAATGAGGGCCGCTTGCCTGGTGGCCGGATCGATAGTTCAGTTTGGGGGCCCTCGCTGAGACTCTAGGACAGCCGGTCCTGGCATTTGGACCCTCCCATGTGGTCCTGCTACTATTCTGTCTGTAAATTACGGCACTTCCGCTCTTTTGGCAGCAGAACTTTCGTGAAATAAAATCATACACGGAAACTCAATATGAGCAAAAGGAAGCAGTGGGGTCGCTGTGTCCAGGCAGGGGCCTGGCACTTTGCCGAGTGACCCTCTCCTGGGCAGCCGCTGTCCCAACACAAGCTCCCTGGCACTTCCGCTCTTTTGGCAGAACTTTCATGAAATAAAACCATACACGAAACTCAATATGAGCAAAAGAAAGCAGTGGGGTCGCTGTGTCCAGGCAGGGGCCTGGCGCTCTGCCGCATGGCCCTCTCCTGGGCAGCCGCTGTCCCAACACAAGCTCCCTGTGCTCCTGGGGCAGCTCCCAGGAGCTGGAAGAACCTGCATTCACTTAGACACCTGAAGAGCCTGTTTTCACATAAGTAACACGAAGCAAGAAGAGTGCAGTGAATGACCAATGTGAAGCGAAGGCTGAGGAGACAGTAACACATGGTCCTTTGCCAGGGGCGTGAGGAGTTCCCTAGACACTGGCAGAAATGACAACCATCGCCGCTCACGGTCCTTTGCCAGGGGCGTGAGGAGAGGAGTTCCCTAGACACTGGCAGAAATGACAACCATCGCCGCTCTCCAAGGCCTGGTTCCTGCAGCCAGCACAGTGCGCCTGCTGCTCTGATCGCCAAGTGCAAGATGTCAAGTAGAGTCCCCACGGAGGACCGCTTTCCCAGGAGGAGAGAGGAAAGGACTTGTGCTGGGAGCAGCTCACCTCCTCCTGGAAGAGGTTCTGCCGGTTCTTCAGGGCCCGCAGCCGGTTCTGCCTGTCCTCGTGCTCCAGGTGCTCGGCCGGCGGGTGCAGGTAGCTGATCAGGTCCCGCAGGCTCAGGCTGACCGACTCGATGGGCAAGTCCACTGGGGGCACCTTCGCCTTCCTGCCCAGAGCATCCAGGCCCCTAAATGAACAGCACCATTGCTCTCATCGGTGACTCACAATTTTATGTAGGATTTTAGTTCATAAAGCTTTACCCTCTCTCCCAATACCACTGTAAAAGGCAAACAATATTTGAATCACAAATACATTTATTTATAACATAGTCAAACTCATCTCTTATCATACTGAACCAAATAAACTCACAAATGACTCAAATACAGTATCTACATTTGCAAACTAAGGAGAAGCAATAGTAAATGCCTGGTTAGGAAGTGGAACATATCTGCCATTAGAAATAGAACCATTCAATTACTTCCTAGGAGAAACTCAAGCGATAATTAATATATTCAAATGAAAAACTGTATATTCCTTCATGTATACATAATGTTTTATTAAAAACACCAGTACTGAGAGAAATTTATCTAGAGAAAAGCTGGAAGGGCCTAGAGGACCAATATTTAGAAACCAACTGATTTTCATTATAAAGCACTCGATGCTCGAGTTTCAGGATGCAACGCCCCGAACTGATAATTTTGACATTTTCTCGTTCCATTGTGTTTGGTTTTGGGAGAAGGAGCTGTTAGCTGCTGATACTCACTGCCATTCTGTTTTAAAAGATATTCTAATGATATTAACTCATAAAATTCACTTAGTCACCAGGAAACAATATGTTAAATGCTTTCCTATTACCTGAAAGAAATGTATTTAAAATTAAATTTTAAAATGGCATCATGCTGCATTTCCTAGCCTTTGAAGGAAAACATATTATTGGCATGTAAGTGTGTGGATTTGTTGAGCTTTCCGAGATTCTGAATTTTAAACTCAAAGCTTTGAGATTGACCACCATAGTATACTTTAGAATTATTTATTTGTAGATTCAATCAGGAAATTGAGGTAAAATGTCAAATAGCCACCACAACAAAGGACATGAAATGTACCTTATAAACCTGTTGAAAAGGAAGACGGTGCTCCGGATGACCCGCGCTGTCCGCGACTCTTCGTGCTGCGACCTGGACAAGTTTATGCCGTCGTCCATGTGGCCTTCGTGATGCATGATGGCCTGCGGGAAGCACGGGGACCGCCATCACTCCAACACCTCCCTTCCCAACGGGGCTAGGAAGGTGCGCACTCCAAGAGGCCATGGCAGTACACAGGACCAAGTCAGGTGGAGGGGACTGTAAACTGTTGATGATTTTAAAGCTTTACCCTGAAGTTTGAGGTAAAATAATATGCAAAGGTCCCTGGACCACCTAGGCATTTAGTTACTGTTTTAAAGAATTAATCCGTTGTTGTACTGAGTTGAGCAAAACAAACCCCAGAATATCTTCACACATCATGTTCAGTGACTGCTCCAAGTCTAACCCTCTGAGGGAAGCAGCCAAGGAAGCCATTCAGCTTCAGCAGGCACAGTGAGCTGAGCAGACAGGTAATGAATAGTGCTCAGCAATGCTCCTAAGGCATCTAGGTTCTTTAAAACTGCATTTTTATGTTGTTAGTTCTTGTTAGGTGTTTTTTTTAAGCTTACTATGTGAGTACCACATGAGAAGAGACAAGTGCAGAAACCTTAAGTAAACAGTTGAATGGTTCTCCCAAAGTGAGCACACTGTGAACACTCGCAGCAGGAAGAGAAGGTCAGAGCACCTCCACATCCACCCAGAGCTCGCTTCCTGCCCTGCCCTCCACAATGGCCCCCACCTTCTCACTTCTAACAGCAAAGGTCACTTGGGTTCTATATATAAATGGAACCACGAAATGGGCAGCCACTGGTGCCCCGCTTCCTTCATTCAACACTTTCAGAAGATAGTTGTCATCTAAACAGGTGTACTGAGTTAAGATTAGTAAGGAGAACTAAAATTGTAAACTATCTAGAAAGCAGTGCAAAATGGAACATGCATGTCGAGAATGAACGTCAGCAGGTGGCTGAGAGTGTTGGCTACCTCTTCTTGCCTGTGTTTGTGTATTTTAGCCATAAGAGATGACTGCGAGATGGGGTTTCTCTCGCCTCTCACCTTGCGTTGTATGGCTCCCATCCTCACAGACTTCACGTCCACGGCCTGGTAAGTCAGCCACAGGCCTGTGTTCACATGCTGTATGTAGCAGACCGAGTCTCCATACTTGATCTCAGAGGTTCCCATGCCATCGACTTCTTTTCTCACCCCTGCATCCAATTTTTCCTAAGGAGAGAGGAAAAAGAGATAAGCAAGTTTTTAAAATACGACTTTATCTTGAAAGAACTTTGCCTTGTTGTAAATATGTTCCTTGAAAAACTCAGCCCTCTGAAGTCCCCTGAAATAACAGTCAAATATTTTATTCTAGCAGTTCAACCACTACTGAAGATTTGAGTAGAAAATTATAAAAATAAATAACGTATTCTTGAATAATTCATACTGCTAGACCATTATTTTAGCCATAAAAAAACTTCATATTGCCCAATGACAAACTCCAAATGAGATATCTTAAAATGAGTAGTTGAGGCTTCATATTCTTTTCCGATTATTTTTTTCTTTATTTGTACTTAATAGCATAGGTTTGTGGGACAGGAAATCCGGTTTTGAGTTCAGTCTCTGCCACTTGCTACCTCTGTGATCTTAGAAAAGTTAAACAAAGCTGTTTAAGCCTCAGTTTTCCCAGCTATAAATAAAGCTAATATACATACCGGAAAACATGAGATAATGCATGTAAAGCTAACAAACATATCAGAAAACATGAGATAATGCCTGTAAATATTTCAGCACAGTATCTAGGATAAAATAAACTTAAATTTTTACTATTTTGGCTATGTAAACGATGATGATAATGGTGATTATGTTAGCAAGGATGTTAATGCTTTCTTTAGAACTATTCAAAACGACTGTAACTCAGTTTCCCATAATGCAATTTCCAACTTGAACGACAGAGTCACTGGCTTCTAAGGGCCCTAGGCTAACCTCCCTCTGCTCGGAAGCAGCACTCGATGCTCTGATACCAGCTGTTTCCTTCAAAGCCCTGCGCTTTCATGCTGCCTCCTTCAACATGCTCCCTCTCGTGGACACAAACAGCGTGTGGGGGCTGCCAGAGGGAGGGGGTGGGCGATGAAGGGGGCCTAAAATATGGTGACAGGAGATTTGACTTGGGTGTGGGCACACGGTGCAATATACAAATCTTATAACACAGAAACCCACACCTTGCCCTAGCTGGTTTGGCTCAGTGGATAGAGCATCGGCCCGCAGACTGAAACGTCCTGGGTTCGATTCCAGTCAAGGGCACGTACCTGGGTTGCAGGCTCGATCCCCAGCCCTGATCAGGGCGCATGTGGGAGGCAACCAATCGATGTCTCTCTCTCACATCATGTCCTTCCTTTTCACACCACTTGCACTATTGGCTAACTTCACCAGCTCCCATGATCTTAAAAAACAAAGCCGCGTAACAAACTGAGTAACTTAGTAATTCATATTGGCTCTGACTGATACACCTCATCTTCACCACTGGAGGTTTCAGTGAGCCCACTCTCTTGTCTACTGCCATTAGAAAGGATCAGCATAGCCTGGCCTGTGTGGCTCAGTCAATTGAGCTTTGTCCCATGCACCAGGACAAGAGGTCACTGGTTCCATTCCTGGTTGCAGGCTTGATCAATCCCCAGTAGGGGGCGTGCACGAGGCAGCCAATTGATGTTTCTCTCACATCAATGTTTCTATCTCTCCCTCTCCCTTCTTCTCTCTCTAAAAAATAAGTAAAAACGTATTTTATAAAAGGATCAGCATAAAAACTATCATTGAATTTCCATATCTTCTGTAAAACCACAGCTGGTCTTATTTTCTATTATACTATCAGCACCCCTTGATAAAAGATTACTGCAAAAATCTCATTTGAATTTAATCCTGATTAAATAAAAATGTATCTACAATGATAATTTTGTATACTTATTTTGATAAAAAATATACATGTTCTTCATTTTACTTTCATCTTTTAGATATTTAGTCATCACTAAACAACTACAATAGGTGCTCATCTGATCACAGGTAAACAACATATCTTTCCTGTCTGCTATTATTATTTTAAATCTTTAATTCTGTTATTAAAAAAGACTTTAGATTTACTACTTAGGCTCAAAGTTTGGATATGCCACCTAACCTGCTTCAGTTTCCTCATCTGTATAATTAAGATTAAAAATAGTATCTAAGCCCTAGTCAGTTTGGCTCAGTGGGTAGAGCGTCGGCCTGCAGACCGAAGGGTCTCAAGTTCAATTCCAGTCAAGGGCATGTACCTCTGTTGCGGGCTCCTCCCAGCCCGGGCCCTGGTCAGGACACATGCAGGAGGCAACCAATTGATGTGTTTCTCTCTGTCTCTCACTCTCTCTCCACTTGCTCTAAAAATCAATGGAAAAATATCCTCGGACTCTCTCTTCACTTGCTCTAAAAATCAATGGAAAATATCCTCGGGTGAGGATTAAAAAATAAATTTTAAAAAATAGTATCTAAGCTTCATAGGATTGAACTAGAATTAAATGAGATAATACATATAAGATACTTAGCACATTATTTGGCCCATAAATTAACCGTTACTCTTATTTTCATGTATGTGTTTTAAAGCATTTAAAATATTTTTGAACCAAGAATAAAAATCCCAAACAAAAATAGCATACTAAAAACTATGTCCTAAAAATGATTTTGTTCTATTTTTTCATTTGTTCCATAATCCTTGTGATCTCATTGGCAGTCTTATTTGAGTCTGATTTCATCACTTCAATAGCAGCACGTTTCTATTTGTGGCGCATGGGAGAAGGAAAACTGGAGGAAATCCCCCAAAGAAGCATATTTTAGAGGCATTTTAGGCTAAAAAATTCCATCTTGGGGAAATATAATACATATGTGATTGGCAAGATCTACCCTTATAATAAACAAATAATAGAAAGCAATACAAAGACTTACTCTATCTCCTGGAAAAATATTATAATTACCTAATTGGCCATTATTTTAAAATCAGAATTCTACTATGATCTTAAAATTAAAATGTTTTCTTGGCCTTCAGTTTCACCTTCTCTTTTATCAACCACGTTACCACGTGCAGTTCTCACTGTGAGTTAAACGAGTGGAGTGGGTTTGGCAGCAAGTCAGTAACAACCTACTTAAGACAGCAGTTCCCCAAACATGAGTGCCAGGCAGGAGACCAGACGCAGAGAAACTGAAGACTTCATTAAAAAGTGATGCTGGCCCCTGGCCAAGGTTTCTCAGTGGTTAGAGTGTTGGCCTGTGCACCGGAGAGTTACTGGTTCGATTCCCAGCCACGGGCACATATGTGGATTGCAGGTCCAATCCCCGCCCCAGGGTGCATGTGGTAGGCAACCTGTTGATGTATCTCTGTCACATCAATGTTTCTCTCTCTCCCTCTGCCCCTCCCTCCCTCCTTTCCACTCTCTCTAAAAAAATAAAAATAAAAATAAGTGGAAAAAATACCTTCATTCCTCTGGTGAGCATTTAAAAGAAAAAAGTGGTGCTGGGATCCCTGGTCTCTGTACTTCCTGTGTAAGCTACGACATTACAAAATGGCCCAAATCCAGAAACAGCCCCCATTCTCCAAGTGCATATTAGGAGAGATATTTGGAGAAAAAATGTTTCAAAGGCTACTGCTTTGAGCAAGAACTTTTATTCAGAGTGTTTGAAAATATTCACAGCTTTTGAGCCAGTATGTCCAGTTCTAGGATCCATCAAAGAAACAAGTAAAAAATGTGCACAAAACATGTCCAAGAACGTCAGTGCAGTGGTGGTTTTTTCCTTAATTGATTTTTTGTTACAAAGAAATATGTCTATTGTAACAGGCAAAATAATCCGGAGATGGACTTTTTTGAAGTTAAACAAAAATTTTCCTGCACTCATGTTCCCACACACCTTCTATTTTGATCTTTCTGAAATATTCAAAGTTAAAATCTTAGAGCAGTCCTTCCCTATCAAGCATATAGAAATGTACAAACACAGATTTATTTAAATCAAAACAATAAAATTTTGTAATACAACTTGCTTTTTTTTCACTCACCAGTATCCGAAGGAAACGTGGTGGGTCTACTTACAGGGGACCCAGCACTACTGTCCCGCTCACCTTGGAAGAGCGGAAGGTGAAGGCCGTAGACTTCACATCGGCTTTCTCTTTGTCCATGAGGAGAAGGTTCTTGTCTTCCATGAGACTCAGGTACTTTCCCGTTGTGACATGCCGCAGTCGGAAAGGCTGGCCCCACCGTATGTGGCTCCCACTCCACCTGCAGAGACAGGTCAGACTCGATCCAACAGCAGCCACAGCCACAGCCACAGCCACAGGGAAACAGCAAGTCACGTGTACGTGTCAGCAATGATGGAAGGTGCTCTGCATGTACCGTCTCACTGAATGGTCTCGGAACCTGTGAGGCTGGTGGTATTAATGTCAGTTCACACATAACAAAATAGTAATTCAGATGATCACGTAACATTCAACGTTACACAGCCACTAGCAAGCAGAAGTGACATTTCACTCTAGGTCTTCTGACTCTCAATGTGACCCCATCCACACTAACCCTACTCCTTGTGCTCCAAGTTCACCTCTACTCACTAGTCACAGATACAGAAATGATAAATTTAAATGATACTTTAGAGTTTACTAGTTAAAAACTTCTGTTGGATTTGCACAGACTTGAAAAATAGTGGTACAGTCAATGCTTAATTATGATGAATTATAATTTATATACATAAATTAAACTAAAGTATATATTTACCTGAAAAAAGAAATATATTCCTATGGTTTAAATTTAATAATGAAGAACAATTATCTCATTAAAAACCAGTGAATTAAAAAAAAGAATATGAGAACTATAAAAGGTCAAAAGGAGAAAAAAGAAAATATAAATAAACAGAAAATATAAACTAAGGTTATAGAAAAGATAAAAAGCAAAGTTATGATCATTAAAATCTGCTAAAAGTAATGACTTTCAGAAAGGGTGGAAAGGAAAATCCGGTTATGTGCCACTCCTGCTTCCACAGGACCGCGCACGCTGAGTCAGCACAGGCAGACCTCGGACTGCTGTGAGCAGAGGGGACAAGCCTCGCAGATGCATGACACTTAAGTGGCTCTTTGCAAAGCAAGGACAGCCTCTCATCATGGATAAGAAACATGCTCACAATCAAATAACTAAAAACTAAACATAACTGAGTGGAAAAGAATTCCCTTGCATATAAAATCACAAGGAAACAGTGATGGCAAAGTTGCTGTTAGACAATCAGAGTTCGAGGCAAAGCATGAAGGGAATGCTGTCGGGTGCTTTAAAAAGATAAGAGATAAACTCTAAAAAGTATGCACACAGTCATCACTACATCATGAGTCATATAGACAGCAGAGATGTGGAGGCTTTCAATATGATTTTTATCAATTAACAAATTTGTTTTAAAATAGAGTCATTAAAAACTATTGTAGTCTACTAATTAAGGGTATTTTTTGAAAACTTTTCTATTTTAGTAAACGGTAAGTGGTATTTATGCTGTTTTGCTAAACTGGTTTTTTGACTTGTGATATTAGCATTGAAAATTAACAGTACCATGATATTACGGTAAGTTCATTTTTACATGAATCTGTTCATAGAGACAACTACTTATAATACACTGTAAGCTATATTCTGTGCATGTATTTAAAGTAATAAAAAGTCCTATGTCATACCTTACCACATTCAAGGATATACAAAGTTTTTCAAAATTATTGCCTGGGATATATAAGCAAAAGCAACCGAAGAGCACTAAATTACTTAAATCACCATTAGGTAAGCATCAACCTCAAAACTGTACGTCTACAAAGATAGCTATTCTATACTAAGATTGTTCCTTACATCCATCATGGAGTCTGTAATCCTAAAGCAACAATTTCTTTAAAATAGAGAATTAACTTTAAAAACTTACTGCTTTTGAGGCAAAGGACTGAACCTTATAATCCTTTTTAAAATTTATTTTAAGTCTATTAAAAATTATGCTTTTATTATCAACATTTCATTTTATTTAATGCACAGCGGCTTCATATTACCACCCCCTTTGCTGACTCGGCTGTTATTTGTGAGTAAACACAGAGACTGCTGGGAATGGTCTAGTGCCCTGGTTCACATTCAGGTCTCCTCCGTCTCACAGGTGCTTCCAGAAGGTTCAGTCCAGAGCTTGCCAGGACTGAAGTGATTGACAGGCTTGTCTCCAAACCTACCTCGAGGGCTCCCAGCAGCATTTTGTGCCGGGAGATGCACTGACCAGATGAGAAGATGCTACAAAAACCAATGAGGCTGAAGACAAAAGCGGCTGACCTACCACCTGGTGAACTGGGGCTCATGAAGGATAACTAACGGGCAGGAGGGAGAAAGGGAGGAGAGCCTGCCGCTGTCAGCGCTGTGTTTGCTGGTGCCCAGCCGAGCGCACTGGGAAAGTGGCACGTGGGCTGCATTCAGAGGCGCTACTCACGCAACTCTCAGCGTCTCCAGTCTCCACAGGGACCGGGCGTGGACGGACACGGCACCACCTTCATAATGAACAGTTCTGTTTTCAAAAAAAGAAGCCCGATTTTAACATGTTTCATTCTTGGACATGTTTCATTTTTCAAGCTAATTAAGAGAGAAAAGCAAATGGGAAAATTTTAACATGTTTCATTCTTGGACTCTATTTTTCAAGCTAATTAAGAGAGAAAAGCAAATGGGAAGCCTTTGCATAAACAGTTAAAGCCATACTTTTTGGAGAAGACAATAGAGCCGGAAATAAAAATAACCAAAAATACTAACAGTGACCCACATAAGTCTGCCCTAAATAAACATTCGATGTAAACACGTGCCTCATCATTTTCTCCTCTAATCCCATTCATTCCCTCTCCAACTCCCCCTCCACCATCTCCCCCCGTGAATATACTCACCTGATTCATTTAATTCAGGTCCTTAAAAGTACTCAGCTATAACTTTAGGTGTACTTTAATATATTATTATTTAAACACATTCATATTTAGAGTTTTCAAGTTTGTTCTAGATACTTAACACATTCTAATATTTTAGTATAACACATTCTAATATTTTAGTATAACAATTTGAAAAAGTGATAATAGAAAAGTATAAATATCACCAAAAATATAAATATAAGCAAGAAGTTGCACACACACCCAAAGCAGAAACATTTATTTGAGGGTACTTCACACGTACCCAAACGCCAAAGCCCTCGTGATAACTGTTTGTCAGTGGCGCTAACTCATCATCCACAACATCCAACCTGATCTCTGGGCCAACGCATGCCACCTTTCACGGAAGCCAGAGCCCATGCAGCACCTCGGAGTCCTCACGACCTCCTGCTCCCCTGGGCCTTCTATCTCCACACAGCCCTCTGCTCTCAAGAGCCAGTTGATGATTATTAACTTCCTAAATGTTCCCTATATCTTTCTGTAAATTACAGAAAGAAGTTTATTAAATAAGTTACCAAAACTCCGTCCACACCTTTGGGGAACCCTTGGACCCACTGGGGTTGGACCCCAGCAAATATGTATGTTAATATTATGAGAAATGTCCTTTCAAAACTAAAACATGTAATAAATCATCCAGATGACACCTGCTCTCACAGTGATCCCTTGTTTATGTATTAATCTTATCAGATTCATCTGAGAATTTAATGAGGCAAAGCAGAGCATTCAAATCATCTTAAATATTTTTGTTTTTGTATTATTTGTGCACTTTCCCCAGAGATCTGGACTACATCAATCTCAGTCTAATGCCAAATAATATTAACATGAGAGAGGTATTATAATCACATAAAATATGAGGAACGTGGTCAGTTCTATTATCTATGGCAGCAAATGGAGGTAATAAAAAAAAGGTCGTCAACTTTTGTACAATTTGAGAAATCTGATTTTGAAACTGAATTCGAGACTAAATGTTCCAGAAAAAGAATTAATCAGAACCAATGAACATTTAATGAAGTTTTAAGTAGATTGTTTAATGTGTTCACTCCTCCCACTCAGTTTAATGCGATGCTTCTTCCATGTTTTAATTTTTTCAGCGATTTTGCTGATAGGTAATAAAAACACGAGGAAAAACTGCAAAGGAGGCCAACAAATGGGTCATTCAGGGGACAGATGAATGTTAGAGGCCCACTTTCTCTTATGCTAACGGCCTGAACAGGCATTTCCTTAATTTAAAAAATTATGTCAAGGCAAGAAAATCAAGGCTTGGGGCGCCAGGCTCACCCACCTCCGCTGCTCCTCCCCATGCTCCCCGGAGGGGACGGTGAGGCACTCGTCCATGTGTCCGTGCAGCAACCTCAGGACGTCACCGCCAATCAGGTACCCTGTGAGGATGAAACTCGGTCTAGCTCAGCTGTCATGCTCAAGTGGTAGCTGGACAGTTCACCTGGTCCAATCTTCTATGTTCTTAGAGAACCAGGAGTCTAGCAAGGCTTGCGCTCCTGGCCACATCTCAGAGAGGGATGGTTCCACCTGCCTGCTGCTGTTGGGCCTGAGCCTCAGAGCCCCAGAGTGAGTGACATTCCCACTGGAAATACCACCTCAACCCCGTAAAATCCTCCCTTAAACATACATGCAGGGATAGGCTCAGACTTGAACCTGTGCAGGTGACAGTAATCAGAACAAACGCAGATGTCCCGGAAACCCTGACGCATGGGCATTGTTGGGACCCCCCACCCAAGCCACCCGCTCCAGAAGATGGGAAACCTGGACATCCGCCTAACTGAGCAATACCCCGGGGCCAGAACCCTGGGGCAAGCAGCCCCCAGGAAGCCGGCACAGAAAGCCACACAGATAAACTGAAGCTGACCACAGCGTACAAGTAGCAATTTAAACGAGAATCTTGGGTGTCATCACCTAATTTACAGAATAGTTTGACACAAGCTCTGGCTAAGAGCCAGCTCAGGGTCACGGACACCCTGCGTCACGGACGAGCCCTCCCTGAAGAGGGGTGTACCTTGGGCCGCTTCACTTCCTGAGCTGATGGGGGCCACGCTCCAGAGCGTCAGCTGGAAAGCGGCGTCCACGTGCAGGCTGCTGCTGCCGCTGCCATAGGACAGGTGCTGCGGAGAGGGACGCAAAGAGGCTTCGCCTGGCTGCGGGCGGGCTCAGCACGCACATGCTTCTGCCCACTCACACCCAACACAGACTGGAACTGCGCACACGGAGCGTCTATGTCAGCCTGTCACTCAAAACGAAGAGGCCGGTAGAAAAAGATTAGTTTCTATTTCTCTTTAGGTATTTCCCATCTTCATTCTAAGAGTTACTAACTTAAGCCACTAATCAGAAAACAAATGAATACACTAAAATAAATTGATTCATTAAAGCAGACTATTTTGTTTTAAAGCCTACTGATGAACAAAGTTATACAGATACTGGGTACTTACCATTAGAATTATAAGTTGTCTACCTATCACACTGTGGTGTCTTTTTACAACAATGCAGGTGAGATCTATAGAACCAATGTCTTAGTTTTATGAGGTTATGAACTTTTTATCTGCAACTTGACACAATAGCCATTCGATGGCGATGTTTTCTAATAAGTATCTAAAACCAAGGCAAACACATTTTCTCCAAAATTCAGATAGTACAAATTTCAGATTTCCTTCTTAAAAATAAAAATGTGTCAAATATCGTATTTAATATTTTAAGAGCCATAATATGTGAGTTCTGAAACTAAAAGAAAAGAAAAATTATGAAACCACTCTAGAATTTTACAGCAGATGGCCTTGGTTATTTTACCACCTGGCTCCGCTAGAACTGCAGACAGACACTGTGTTCTTGGGGTCATCTCAGCAAACATCACTTCTCCAATGCTGGTGACAGATGACAGCCTCAGCTTTCAAAGATCCCATCGTACCTGAACTTGCCCAGAAACCAACCCTCCCAGTTGGATGAGGGGCATGAAGTCGCAGCAGGACCGTCATGCTGGGAAGCTCCGCGGGCCTTCACACCCACGGGTTCTCTCACCTGAATATGCTATTCTCGAGGCACCAGCAAAAATAGGCATGTCACTCTTAAACAAAATGGAAACCAGGCTGATGGAAAATAACCTTTCTGAATATCATAATATTTTGCACTGGGATCTCTCACACTTCCATTGATTTCAATCTGCAAACTTCTGCAAATGATTATTCTTTAGCAAAAATACAATTCACTAAATACTAGTAAGTTCAATTAAATATACATTGGCCTTACCACAAAATAAAAAATGCCTTCAATGATTAAACATAAACTTTTTTTCATTTTCCCACTGTCACCCTCTACTCTTTGAAACAATGTCAAGGAGACCTCAACTTGTTTTTATTTTGTTTGTTTCTCTTAACGTGGCAAGTATTTCTCACATAAGAATTTTCTGCCGAAACCGGTTTGGCTCAGTGGATAGAGCGTCGGCCTGCGGACTGAGAGGTCCCGGGTTCGATTCCAGTCAAGGCCATGTACCTTGGTTGCGGGCACATCCCCAGTAGGAGGTGTGCAGGAGGCAGCTGATCGATGTTTCTCTCTCATCGATGTTTCTGACTATCTCTCTCCCTTCCTCTCTGTAAAAAAATCAATAAAATATATTTTTTTAAAAAAAGAATTTTCTTTCATAAATATCCAAATCAGTGGTCACAACCTCATTAATGCAGCCCTCTCGCCGGGTGCAGAAGAGTCCCAGTTCTGAATTCCCGATCGGACTATGTGTAGTTCGTCAGTGAGAGTCCAGGAAGAGGCACCAGGGTCAGGACAGGGCAGGATGGGGGCAGGATGGGGCACACGGAGGGGGGCACCCAGGGCAGGGCACACCAGGAGCCTGTCCAAACGCACCTGGTGAGCCACACGACCGCGTGTCACCCCCTTCCCCTCCCTGGGGAGTTACCGCTCTCTCATCAAATAGAGGTACAGGCTTGTTTCTAAGCAATTCTCCTGGATAATTTGCAATCTACACTTTAAAGAGGCTGTTTTATTGACCTTCATGCATCACCTCAGCAAGTCCGTGCCCTACTCTCCACACTTACCAGGTACCTTTCGGAGGACACACTCACTAAGATGAGGTCATCGCCAACGCGCACCTTCTCTCCCTCGGACCGCTGCTTGGAGGCGGGATGTATGGTCCACCAGCAAGCCTCGCCTGCAGGAAGGGCGAGCAACACAGAGCAGCCTCTTAGTGCAAAACCCACGTGCTTTGCCGGTGACTCCACATTAAAGAGGGAAGTAAAAGAAGTCTTCACAGTCAGTCTCCTTAACAGAAATTTGTTCTGTTCACTCCACCTTCAGGAATTTGAATTATAATGCAACTTAATCTCTTAGACCGTGAAAATAAAAAGAAGTAGGCCAATTAGCTTAGGATAAGACACATGGAAACATACAGCTTGTCAAAGAACTGGTTGTGACAGTTTGGGAAGTTTGGTGTCTTTCCCCCTATTAAGAATTGGTTTAAAATGATCTTTATGCTGCATAAGGCGAAATTCACCGGTCGTGCCGACCTGACTTCATTCTTTACAAAAGCATATGCTGTACACTGTTCATGTTACTCTGTGATGACATCTAGTTTTCGCCAGTTGGTTTTCAGAAGGACTTGGAGTTTTATGATGTGACATTATAACAATTTACTTTCTGGGGGATGCTGATTTAAAATGGGCACAACTGTTATCTAAATTTTACTATCCTGTGCCTTAATTTATTTTGTGATTTGAAAAATGTGTTTGTTTCTATTAACCTAAGTGTAACATAAAAGAGAACCCCATTATATAAGGGCGCATTATAAAAATAGCTGGGTGTAATCAAATAATTCCTCCTGGAACTAGCCATGCATAAGCCTCAGGAGCTACACGCCCACCGCCCAGTCTTCATTCTTCACTGCTGTTACCTAAGACACAAACTAGCACCCAATTCCTTAGTCTGGTCATACTTCCTTTTAAAAATAAATGCAAATTCTATCCAAAACACTCTAATATTCTCATCCAAAAATGAGAATATTTTTAGTGACTTGTTATCTAATAGTTTGCATTCTCTCCCTTAGCTCAGCTTTCTCATTTTCCATAACACTTTTCTTCTTTCTAATTCCCCAACGCCAGAATGTAGGTCCCATAACAGCAGGGCCTTCCATGTTTGGCTCACCGGGGTTTCCCCGGATGCTAGCATTTTTGTTTTTAATGCTCTGGCACTCAATAAAAATTCATTTTGCATAACTGAGTAAATGAATCAGCAAATGCTATTTCTTTTCTTAATATATTTTTATTGATTTCAGAGAGGAAGGGAGAGAAAGATAAACATCAGTGATTAGAGAGACTCACTGATCGGCTGCCCTCTGCACGTTCTACACTGGGGATCAAGCCTGCAACCCAGGCATGTGCCCTGATGGAATCCAACCGTGATGACCTGGTTCACAGGTTGATGCTCAACCACTGGGCAACACAGGCCGGGGAATTTCTTAAGCGTGCTTACAGTTAATAGGTAATCTGTGCTCTGAGCAGCTTTTCTCACACAAACCACAGTCTTACTTGAGTGTCACTTTGCAGAATTCCTGGTCTTCACTTACTCAATTGACATTTTTAGAGTTGTAAGGAATTTTTCATTCATTCACTCAAACACTTATAAAGCACCCACTACTGGTCGATCATTGCTTTAGCAGCTGGGGATACATCAATAAACGAGGAAGAGCCGTAACCGGTTTGGCTCAGTGGATAGAACGTCGGCCTTCAGACTGAAAGGTCCCAGGTTCGATTCCGGTCAAGGGCATGTCGTGCTTACAGTTAATAGGTAATCTGTGCTCTGAGCAGCTTTTCTCACACAAACCACAGTCTTACTTGAGTATCACCTTGCAGAATTCCTGGTCTTCACTCACTCAATTCACATTTTTAGAGTTGTAAGGAATTTTTCATTCATTCATTCAAACATTTATAAAGCGCCCACTACTGGTCCATCATTGCTTTAGCAGCTGGGGATCCATCAATAAACGAGGAAGACATATCATCTGTCTGTGAGTTTAGTTCTGATAAAGGCCACACAGGACTAACGGTAAATATAAGAAACTAAGAAGCAGCAGTGAGCTCCGGGGAACAGGGGCAGGAGAGGGACTGCCTGTGGTTTGATATTTTGTAGTTATCTCAATGTATGAAACAACTTACACATTGTGTGTGCCTTGCACTTTTTTTGGAAGAGAGAACTGAATGTTTCATGTAATTGTGTGCTGAAGTAAAGGAACTATAATGATAAAACTTAAAAAAAAAAACTAGCAAAAATACAGAGAAATGGCTGAGCCCAAATAAAATTCTGTAAAAAATCAATAAAATATATTTTTTTATAAAAAGAAGGAAAAAAAAGAAAAGAAAACAGCGTGTGAAAGACCGCTTGATCCCACCCATGAAAGGAACAACTTGATAAGAGTTGGTCTATTTCCTTCCATTCTCTTCTCTACTAGGTCTTTTATTTATTTTTTAATTCCCAAAGTCATGTATGCTTATTGTAAAAGATAAAATAGTCAAATTGGACATCCGCCCCACGCACAGCTGCCCCACGCACACCGACCCCACGAAAAAATTAAATAAATAAATAAATAAAATAGTCAAATTGTATATGAAGTGTAGAGTCAGAGCATTGAGAACAAAAACACAAATAAAGCTTTTGTTCTCCTATCTTGATTCTCCAAAAGAATAAATGTGTCAATATATACATTTTAGTTTCAAAAATACGTAAACATACATCTGTTTGGATAGATATGTGGGTCAATGCCCTGTGACAGAGACATGAAGAAGACTCATTTTCTACCTTTTTGCTTGGATGAGGACACTGACTATATTACATTTTTAGACTTAAAATTATTTTTAAGATGGAAAACAATAAAGACATGCAGTAATACTTCATAAGCCACCCAGTGCACATTAATACGTATGATCAAAGCCAGCAGGGCTCACCTGTTGTGTCCTCTTGCAAGCCAACGTCAAAGGCCAGCTTGTCAGTTGAAGACCGGGAGGTGGACAGGCAGCACAGGTACTAAAGGACACAGAAGCAGCAGCTGTCACTACACGGTTATAGTCCCACCCAGTGCAATTCTGGCTCGCTCTGGTATCAGAGTGAAATCTGGGTGCTTCTGGGCGAAGGCCTGCTTTTCCCAGTGAGAGGGACAGCACATGCTGGGCCTCCTAGGAGCAGTGAAATGTGGACATAAGCACATATAATGCATGTATGTAGTGAACCAGGGGACACAGCCTGAGGGGGACTCGAGGGGTCACGTGGATGACTGGGTGCAAGAAGGAGCTGATGTGGAGAAATTCTGGGCAAAGGCCCGGTTTTCCCAGTGAGAGGGACAGCACATGCAGGGCCTCCTAGGAGCAGTGAAATGTGGACCTAAGCACATATAACGCATGTATGTAGTGAACCAGGGGACACAGCCTGGGATGACTGGGTGCAAGAAGGAGCTGATGTGGAGAAAGAGAGACATCTAGTCAGGAAGGAGGGAAGCCAGTGAAAAGTGACAGTGCAACTCACAGGCAGATTTTTATATTATCTTTCAGTAAAAATACTTTAATTCTTTAATAAACTGTTAAAACAACACCAGGAATGAGAAAAGCTTCTTATTTTAATCTTAACACTTAACTGGTCTATCAAAAGTGAGATACTAAAAACAGGGGTCATATGATGACAGAATTGAAGGACCTTAAAGGTCACCCAAGCTACTCCTCATCTTGTAAGTGGGAGGACTAAGCAGGGCACAGATCTTAAAGGGCACAGCGGCCCTCACTTTCCCGACCACCGCAGATGGAACGGCGCTGCTCACCATGCCGCTGTTGGAGTGGCGCAGCAGGATGGCGTGTCCGTAGAGGAGTGTCCGATGACCACCCCCTTGAGCAGTCTGCGAGGAACAAGACAGGGTCGACAAGAGAAGAAAAACCAAAACTTAACGAAGTCAATAAAAAGTCCCCGTGTTCTCCAGGAAAAGGTAAGAGCTACTGCAGACAACCACGTGCGGTGGGAAGATGCTCGCGTGGACTAACGGGTTCCATGCAGCCTGCGCCGTGGGTGCGCAGGTGCCCTGGCTCTGGGAGCAAGCACTCGGCATGACGTGTGATACTGATCACAGATATTTACTGTCCTTATTTCCCACGGCATGTGGGCTGCATCGGGAGGGACCTTCGGCTCTCTGGTCACTACTGTACCCAGGTGATGGCACACGTAAGGACTAAGCATTTGTTCAGTGAATGAGCCTTCCAAAAAGGCGAAACTGATCAAATCATCCCCAGGCTTAGAACCTTTCCTACCTCCCAAAGGTTTCTAGGAAAGAGTCCAAATTCCCTTCCACGAACTAGAGAAATGCTTCTCAAATGTGAGCGTGCACATGAGTCCCCGAGAGGCGGCGGAAGCACAGACTCCTGGGCCATCCCGGTGACTGGCTCAGCAGGTCTGGGGTGAACGGAGAAGTTGGTCTTTTCTACCTTATAACCTTATAAACTGCACTTTTAAACTCAGTTCCAGGCCACCTCCTCCAGGAAGCCTCCTCCGGTTTCCTCAGTTGGCTGCTCCCTGAGCCTCCTGCAGCCCCAGGTACACCTGGCACCTGGTCTAACCACTCCACAAAGTGAGCACCATTCTCGTCTGGGTCAGACTGTGAGCTCCACGACAGGGACGTGAGCTCTCAGCACAAAGACTCAATAAACATGAGAGGAATGAGAAACGACGTGGGCGCCCCATCCACCTGGTGGGGGTGGGAGTCAGGTGTCATGGTTTACAGTCCAGGTGTTAAAAAAGAAGGGACCACAGATTGGAGAGGGGGATGGCAGAAACTGAACAGGAGCCATACAGTTAAGCCCAGGAGTGTGCACAATTTTTTGAAGGAGAAGGCTGTCTTTAAGGATTTTAAGGGTGAGATTGGTGATATTGACATATATATATGTATATATATGTGTGTGTGTGTGTGTGTGTGTGTGTGTGTGTCACACACACATATGTATACCTTAAGAAGTGTGGAGTACTTTAATATCAATACTATTATATCTTTATATCTTTAAATATATCCCTTCATATTGTTCCAAATAATTTCTTAAAATAACTTCACATATTATGTTTGAAAGGCCTCAGAACCATTCTTAAAATCAATATTAAAATTTATTAAAATTATTTTAAAAACTGCTTTTAAAACAAAAGGAAATCTCTTTTCCACATACTGAGGGGAAAAGGTGGGGGGGGAATCTACTTTGTAAAATGATGTTCCTCTTCAGAACGAGGCCCTCTATAGGAAGCACTTGCATTTTCTGTGCTACACGTGACTTTGTGGCCAAGGGCAATTCACCGACCTGGACTGATCTGGATGCAGTGGCAGGAGCTGACTTTCACAGGAGATACAAGCTCCAAAGGTATGAAATCCAGCTGAACTTTCCTGACAGTCACATCCATCACAACAAAAATTTTAAAACGAAGATTTAACCAAAAATGATGGAGTGCTCCTTTTACTGTAAAGTTCTGCCCACGCATTTCATATGTTTATATGTATGAATGTATAAATGTTCAAATTGGTTAAGCTAAGAGGAGACATTTTAGTGTCTAAATTGTCTTCCAACTATACATTCTACACAATTAGACAATTATAGATTTTAACTAGAGATTTCCTCACCACTTAAATGCCAATTATGCCGGATTTAGTTCTAACAGAACTCGTACAAGTATGCACATAATCCCCACTAAATTAATTGTTACTAATTAACTTAGTTACCACAAAGGGATGCAATTTCTGTCACATGCGCTACAGTACTTTTCTTCTAACTTGTCATTTTATATGACATTAATCTAATTGACTCCGTTTCTGAAAAAATTTAAAAATATGTAATTTCAACTCTTGGGCTGACTGGGTAACTCAATTCATTCAACAAACATTTATCAAAAGAATTGTGTGTGGGGATGAATCCTAAGGGATGATTTATTCTTTCCTGTGTTTTTTAATTTGGTGCATCATGTCAATTTTCTTGTTAAATGTGGCCGGTCCTTCTTTAAGTGATTAAATACAGGGTGGGCAAGGTAGGTTTACAGTTGTGAGAACACAAAACAGTTTATTCTTGCATTATTATTTATTAATTATTGTATTGTTTAATTATTGTATTGTTTCCCATCAGAACAACCGTAAACCTACTTTTGCCCACTTGTGTGCATGGACTCCCTCTGAACTTTGGTACTGTAGGAAGATGATCACCACTTCAGGGGTTACTCCTTCGAGACTGTGCAGCCCTGTTTCCGGTGGGTGCGGACGCCCCCTGCGCAGTCTCAGTGAGGAGATGACCATCACCACTGGGCGACAGCTGCATCCAAGCAGCAGTAACTCAGTCCGCTGGAGCAGGCCCCTTTCCCTCCAGTCCCCAAACCCACCCTGTAAGCACATGATGCTCTGACCACACTGACCTCTGGGAAGCCAGTCAGGACCAACTAGATAAGAGTCAATCAAGCTAATGGGGAAGCAAGCTCGAGGCTGGCCTGCCTTCAAGATTCCACTTGAAAAAAAATCTTGGTGATTCTGGAAGTTAATATGTTAACTGTTCTTTGGAATCTAAAATATGAGCAAAACAGTCAATTGCACCAATTAAAAGGAGAATTAGGAAATTGTATTTTACATAATATAAATAAGCCTTCAGTTCACATTAATGCCATCCATACTTTAGGCCTGTAATTCTCCATAAATACTATACATAACAAACACTCTTTCCTATTCATTCAAAAAACATTTATGGGCGGCTCTGGCCAGTATGGCTCAGCTGGTTGGAGCTTCATCCTGTACAAGGAAAGGTAGTGGGTTCGATTCCTGGTCAGGACACAGTTACAGTTCAATCCCAGTCTGGGTGCCTATGGGAGGCAATCAATGGATGTTTCTCACATTGATGTTTCTCTCTCTCCCTCTCTCATTTCTCTCTCTCTCTAAAAACAATAAAAACATATCCTCAGGTGAGAATTAAAATATATACATATATATTTATGGGTGTCTACTGTCTGAGAGTATGCAGCCTCTCACATCTACATCAGAATTTTGAATTAACATTTTTCAGAGTTGGCATCTTTTGAAATTATATTCTTTTGAAATTTTAAACTATATTAAGTCTTTATTAACTAAATACAGTAAGTTTCTCTATACATTGTTTCTTGACTTAAAATCAAAGTTTTGTGATTGTTATATGAGAAAAGTAGTAAGTAGGTACTTAAAACTGAAACCAAAGCCTATACTTTTTGTCCCAAATACTGACATTCTGCTCCTCCTCCTCTACGTTTCCTTCAGTGCCATGACCATGTGCTCTGCCTCCTTTTCAAACCTTTCTGTTTTTCCAATGGGTTGGAAAATGAAGAGGTTGATTTATTTTCCTGTCTCCTGGACGAAGAAATGCTCTAGCAACTTTTTGGTGCTTCTTCTCATTTCCCAGAGTGTGAATTTCCTACTGGATTCATGCAAGAGCATCACACCCAAAACAGCCAGTAGGATACCCGCAGTGAAAATGCTAATTAGAGAACGAGTAAAAATGTTTGTTTCAATGGGAGAATTCTTAACGTTGGCTAAATTAAACTAATATGTTAGCATGTGACACAAAGGTGCCAAATGCTGTTTATGAAGTTGACAAATCTAAGTATGTGACTGATTCATTTAAATTTAAAAGTTTTGAAGTTCGATTCAATTTCTAAAACTTTCAGATGTGAAGAAAAGTGCCATGAGTTCAAAATTTAAACCAAACATGAAATGTACAAAGCAAAACATCTAGTAGATGATCCAGTGTCTTACCTTCATCATGAATTTCTGTGGGGGCAGAAGAAAAGAGAAAAAGTATTAAATATATTATTTCAAAGACATTTTAAAAGATCTCTTACTTACAAAGATTTCTAAATGGAGTTATGTGAACAATAAACATACAAAAACACATTCACTGTGTTGTCACAACAAAACAGTATCAACTGCATGCCAGATAAAAGCTGGAGCAAGCAAAACTCCTTTTACAAGTGTTCTTACATGAGTTCTTCCTTTTCCTGTGAAAACATGCTGCTCTACTGTGATGCCTGTTTCAGTTTACAACATATCTAAGCGCCAAAAAAGCCCAAAGGTATCATCTTAAAATTATACTCTGAAAATTCTTTTAAAACCATTTCACTTCATTTTTTGCATAAAAATGCAGTGATATAAACAGCAACGCAACTGATTTTAGTAAAAACAGTGGCCTGGAAGCAGGTAAGGGTGATCATCACTCAAGTGCCGAGGTGATAGTAACCATGAACCCTTCCCAAACCCAAAGAAAACATCACAGAAGCTTTGCTCTTAATGACACAGCCTCTTCTCGTGACTTATAATAGCTCCTTTTTCTTCTACAAAACATAATATGTGCATATATTCCCTCGTTTTCTTTTAGGCCCATCGAGTTTACTTGACCTATTCCTAGGAGACGTACACAGATTAAAAAGAACTAGGAAGGAAAATGGCATTACTTTTCCAAATGTTTTCTTTTAGGCCCATCGAGTTTCCTTGACCTATTCCTAGGAGACAGATAAAGAAAAGAACTAGGAAGGAAAATGGCATTACTTTTCCAAACTTAGGACTACGTTTAGTTGTCATAAGCATCCAAGTCCTACAGAGAAAAGATACATGTATTCACATTAGTTTTATAGAAAATAGCAAGTTTTCAACCTACATACTTACTAGATACCACAGTTAGTTCCCTGAAACATAAAAACATAGTGATGTGTACATGAGTGGCATTCTATTGTGACTGATTTTTTCATTTTTAATATATTTTTTATTGACTTCAGAGAGGAAGGGAGAAAGAGAGAGAGATAGAAACATCAATGATGAGAGAGAATCACTGAATGGCTGCCTCCTGCACGATCACACATTGGGGATGGAGCCTCCAACACGGGCATGTGCATAGGTTGACACTCAACACTGAGCCACACCAGCCAGGCTTCCATTTTTAATATTAAAATTTAAGGAAAAATTGTAAAGGATCGTTTCATTTTAAGATCAGAAAATAGAGGCTGTTTAGTTATGTATCTGTAACTGATATCAATGGTAAATGATGTCAGGAGGTCCTTGTCTGGTAACCTGTCCTTACGAGGGAGGATAATCTGTTCAACCTCATCATGTTGACAAAAAAAGGTACTTCACCAACAAAGACTTGGGTTTGGTGGCTGTTTGAGAATTGTAAAGGATCGTTTCATTTTAAGATTAGAAAATAGAGGCTGTTTAGTTATGTATCTATAACTGATATCAATGGTAAATGATGTCAGGAGGTCATTGTCTGGTAACCTGTCCTTATGAGGGAGGATCATCTGTTCAACCTCATCATGTTGACAAAAAAAGGTATTTCACCAACAAAGACTTGGGTTTGGTGGCTGTTTGAGATTAATGATGATTATTGGTGCTCCTAACAAATTTCAGAAAACAAAAGACATTTACTATTAACAATTTCAAGTTGTAAGCATATGTCAATATATACTATCCAACAGGGTATCTGGATATACATTTGTAGAGAACCTCAAATATTTGTCTTCTGATAAAAAATATCCCATGAAGCACTGGCTGCATGGCTCAGTTGCTTGGAGTGTGGTCTATTGTCTCACACACACACACATACACACACACACACACACAGCAGGAGGTAAGTTGTTCTCTGTGACACTCAAGGATAGAAACAGGTAACAAATTCTACCTGTTTCTTCCCTCTTTCCTGTCTCTGGCTCTTAATAGAGGAGAAAACAGACCATAGTACCATAGTAATAATGGAACTTGGCCACATCACACCGCTGTCCCAAACTCAGCGTCCAAAATCCTGCAAATGAGTCCTTTCCTCATGACACTGACCATCACCTTCACCTTTCAAGGTTGTACACATATGTGTAACCGCCGGTCTCTATTGTATGTGGGAAACCATAAGAGCTATGCAGTAGGACTTTAAGGTTAAGATTTGTGATGTGATGTACTTTAAAAGCCCTCCTGTTGACCAAAGTGCATTGCATTAGAAAGCCAATTACAGAGAAACTATATAGCTCTGGTGAGGGGGCGGGGCGGGGGGAGAACATTTTCATATCCCCCAGTTCAGTTGAACCAAACCATACACAAGGTTCTAACTAGAGACCTGTTCATATTTGTTCAGTACAACACAGCAGTTATTGTGAAAACTAATAGTACAAGCCACACCAGGAAGCCACACAAAAAATATTAGAGGCAACAGCAAACGTGCATGTGTTTAGATCACAATTCCTTTGCAAATCCATGGAAACACGTACCCATTTTTCCACATCAACTTTCTGTAGAAAGAAAAAGCCAAAATAAATAACAAGCAAGCAAATACCTGGCAATGTTGCAATTACTGTCATTTAAATAAATTGAAATTGTGGTCCCTGCACCTAAATCTACTTCCAGTTCCAACGGATAAGAAAAACCATTTAAACTTTTAATTAACAACATTGAATCTCCTGAAGAAAAAAAAAAGCCTCAATTAATTAGCAATCAGAACTTCCAAGGCATTAGGCTGGAAATGCAGCAGGTATAGGAAATAATGATCCAAAATATTCAGAAGCAAACATGAATATTTACCTAATTCTCAAGCCAAATAGGCCTCCTGATTTAGGAGCACTATTCTCCTCTAAGGATCTATTTAATAAAAAAAGGTCAATTTTAAATACAGCATTAACTAGAAATCTCTATGAAATAGAAGTAAAATTTCTCGTATACCAATCTTTGTAGCATTACATAAAATCTCACAATACAACAAAAGACATGCTTTGGTGGAACTCTTGGGTCATAGCTAAGAATGTCCAACCCTTGGTAAGGAAGCTATTGGGCGCGACCATGCATAAAAGGCTGCATACAGAGTGACTATTTTAAAACGCTGTGAAATGATAGGAAAACACCAACTTCAATATGCAATGGACTCGTTTTGAAGCCTCGGAGAAATTCAATAGGTTCAATAGGTTCCTTATCACAGAGCCTTTTGGCTTCTCTAGTGTTTTACTCAGTCCTCAGAAAAATCTGTCCCTAAGTCTTCCCCCAGCCTTTGAGTTTAAAAACACACAATGGTGTTTAAGAAAGAACAGTTTACTCGATGGAAAAGCCTGGTTTTCATTACACATTTCTAAGTTATTTAATGGTTGCATAGAGTTCAAGTCATCACTTTAAACACAGACCTATCAGAGCGATGAGTCTATTTCTTTAGATACTGGGGCAAAGGGAAGCAATTCAGTCATGTCTGGTGTAGTTACCATTCACTTTTCTACTGTCAAAAGGACAAATTTGCTTTTATTATTTATTCTTCCCTTCCCCCAAAAAAGACCTCAAAGAAATATGAAATAATTTCCTTCTCATGTGTACCAGGAAGACAAGATATACCATATTTTTAGAGATTTCAATGATTAACAAAGACATTATATTATACCCTTCACTAGAGGCCTGGTGCATGACATTAGTGCACTCAGGGGGCTCCCGCGGGCCTAAGCTGTCAGTCAGACATCCCCCCAAGGGCTCCCAGACTGTGAGAGGGCAAGACTGGGCTGAGGGACCCCCACCCAATGCACGAATTTCGTGTACCAGGCCCTCTAGTATGCTATAATTCATTTCCCTACTCATAATACTACAGTTATACACACTAATATTTCTGTTCTGTAAACCATTGGCAGAAAAACAAAACAAAGTCTCCAGGCATCCCAGTTTTTATCTTTTGCCCTGGAATCTTGCTTTTATTTCTTCACCCACACCCCAAAAGAACATTTATTGAGTATCTGACTCACAAAGCATCCGCACCATTCTGTCTGACCTGGAAGAGACACCTGGCTCCTGGGCTCTCTCTGCGTTTGCTCCACACAGTGTGACACAGTCACTCGGAGTGGCTGCTGGATCTGGGACTGAACAAAGGCAGTGAACTCCAGCGTATGGAGTGTTCAGCGCTGTGGTTCACTGCTGCTTCCTCTGCGTCCCTGCTGTAACCTGTCATTTATCTGCCTCTCTCTCTCTGTTCACTGTCTAATCTCATCAGGACACTTTTCCCTCTTGTCTTCCTCCAGAGCAGAGGCGATTGGAAGAGACAACGGAAGTCCATGCAACGTGCCCTTGGTGTTCTGCTCTCTGCACTCTGCCACAGTCCAAGGATAGGTCTAAGGTTTCCTATCCCAGCAAAGAACTCAGCTCCGTGAGGCCTTAGCGCTAATAGCCTCGCATTATCTCAGAACCACGTGAGCACCACAGGCCACCCGGCCAGTGCCAGCCTCATGCCAACTGTCAGCACGTCCACGTGGCCTCGCAGGTCCTCGGTTACCCTCAGGTCTTTGTCTTTCTCCACAGCTCTGAGATCAGTTACAAAGAAGTGCAGCTTCTGAGAGTGTGGCTGCAAGTCAAAGGGGCTGCCTGCACCGCTGCAGGTCCTCAAAGCTGGAACTGTGCGCACACTAGTGCACTTTTTCTAGGCAAGGGCTCTGTAACTTGCATCTGACTCACAAAGGCCCGTGACTGGAGATGGATTTAATTTCTTCCCAGGCTGGGGCACTGGGCGGTGAAGGACGATGTAACAGGAAGTAGGCTGGGACTCCAGATGTTAACCTGCATTGGGCCCAGCAACTTGAACGTGTGGCTGTCTAATTCCAGAAGTTCACGTCCTCATTTCCTTCCCGAAATGTCCTTTCCCTCCCCCAGTGGGGAAACAGAGCTCCACTAACAGAAAAGACTTCTTAGACCTTTTCAGACCCTTCATTTTGGTTTATAAATTCTATCTCTTTATCCCTCAAGTCAGCACATACTTATTGGAAATCTGCTTCGTG